TTCGATGACCCTGCGGGTGTGCCGCTGTCTGGCATTTTCTATCCCTTCCCGCTCAAATCATCATGATGTCTATGCTGTACAATGCCTTACAAGCCTGGTACAATCCTAATCGGTCCTCCATTTCACTTTTGAATGCTTGTTTTTCTATCTCTTAGCCTTTTGAAGTTTTATAAAATAGTAGAAATTCATAATCCAACCAGGGTAGCATAAATCCTGAGAGAGCTATGCTGTGCCAGCACTACACAACACACTTGCCATTTTGCAATGTGCATCTAAAGTGCACAATTACAGTACAGAACTACAATATGGAGCACAGTTGCATGTGAAACTTCTGTTATGCAATGGTGAATAATTAACTCCACATAATGTGACTTACTCATGGGTATGTCAGTTACAGAATGATAGTCAACATGTGACTACTAGAAGTGAGACAATGTCTTCAGGGGGATTGACCTTTCTCCAGGAAAATGTAACCATGTCAGTCTTACTGTTGGCAGGAGTGGGGTTCAGATGCAGAGGAGAGGAATTCAGCCACTTGGCAGGGTTTCCAGTGGGGAAAACCATGCTTTAGGCAGAAAGAATTTCTTTATTTTGTCTTATTTTATTGTGCTTCTGGAGACACAATCTAATTCAAGTACTCAGGAGCAGACTTGCAATTTTAGTCATAATCATGGGAGGAAATGGGTTGAAAGGGGGAATTGGGGTTCAGCAGCTGATGGAAAGAATTGCAAAGGAATTTCCTGCATTAGGTATAGGGGGTTTTTTTAATAAAATACAATCCACTACTTATCTACTCAGTAGTAAGTTCTGTTGACTTCGGTGGAACTTATACAAGAACCTTTTCCTGTTTCTCTCACTCAAAATAAAGACACAAGAGGAAAAACTAAGAGTAATTTTGATACCCTTTGGAGAAAAGCCTAAACAAAATAATGTATTTCCTTACTGAGTTTATGGGGAAGGTAGTAGTGTGACAAAGGGAGTGATGACTGGAAGAAGGATGGCTCCCATGATGTGAAGAATTGCATGTATGTGTCCTTCAGCACAAAAATAGCAGAATGAGGGAAGGCAGGACAATACTAATGAGGCAGAGTATCAACAACATGGAATAGAAACAAAATAAGTAAGGGACTGTGGAAGAGAGAAAAGAAGCAAGTACTGTCAAAACAAACGTGATCTGTTACTTTTATATAGAGAAGGACAAGACATGATGCAAGACCAAGGGAATGTATACAGATTACTTTGGATGTGTACATGTGTCATGAGAATTAACCCCCCCCCCCCCGGGGGGGGGTGTTTGAGAAGGGCAGGGTACAAATACCTGAAATAAATAATTAATTAATAAAAATGTGAATCTGGAAAAAACAGAGTTTGGAATATTAGGTTTAAAATTAAATTGTTAAGGTGAGATGTTAGATGTTAGAAATTAATCACCATAAATGCTCATAGTTGTAATTATTTAATTAGTTTAGTTATCATCAATTAATTCACTGATTGAAATAGTATGGAACTGGACCATGGAATTTGAGAATGGCTTGGAGATTATTATTGTTGACCTCAGGGGACATTTTGCTACTAGTTCCTTCAAAAATGATCTTTTTCTCCTTTTAATGTTGTCTAACTCCAACTTGAATTCTTTTTTTTCCCCTTGTGTGAACTACAAAGTTCAATATTTAATGAAACTGGTTATTGATAGTCAACATGGCTGGAACTGTCAGGTTGGGAAAAGCATAGAATTTCAACTTACAACGTCTTCAATTCAATTTGTTATTTATTTGCATCTCTTTTTTCTTTCTACCCCTCAGTTACAGTTGCTCTTTATAAAAGATTTCTAAGATATTGTTTATTGAAATTTGAAGGCACTGACCTACCACAAGTACAATAATAAATACACAACTACAATGATCAGTCACTGAAGAAGTCTTAATCAGAAATTATTTGAGAGATTCAGAAAATATGCAAAAAAAATTCTGTGCAAGTGAATAATTTCTGCTTCTCTAATATCAATCAAGAAATACGGTCAGCAAAGGCAATTAGTAGAGCATATGTTTCACATGCTGAAACAAGGCATCCCAAATTCAGATTCTGATACCTCTAGTTTAAACAGTCACATATCAAACAACCCAATTGTTCTCTACACCCATCTTACATTTTCAATGTGTAAAACCTGGCTCTAAAAACTGGACTTTATAAAATTATGTAAAGGCAAGGAATATACAATAAAGAGCTAAAATTTATCTTTAGGACTATCTGGAGGAAATTGTCTTATTATACATGGATAGAGCATTCTATCCTACATATCTTCTAAAACTTACTTCCAAATACATTTTTTAAATGAAAGTTATTTAGGACATGAATTTTGATGCCTCTATCCTTTTGCTCCAAACTTATCAAATCCTCTAATAAAGAGTGAAAGGAATGAGTGAAAAAAGCAGAATGGGAAAGTGGGAAGAAAGACGTGAGAAGCCAAGGGGGAAGAAAATTGGCAATATAGTTGCTAAAAAAAATTTTCTTAATTATTGAGGAGCCCAGCATTATGGGCGTAACACACTAAAGAAGTGCAGAGGCATTCATCCCAAATAATATTTTATGTTAATGTTTATGCAACCATATACATTAGATCCCACTGCAGAATTTAATCAGCAGAAGAGAAAAACTTACTGAAGACAGCTACAATATCTACATCCACCAAACCAAAAGGACACCTTTTTCTCAGCCGATGTAAGGGAGAACCTGTTTTTCAGGCAGAAAACCTGAACATTTTGACATCGTGAAAGAGCCCTGACTTCTGCTAAATACACCAATCACTCTCCCAGCCTCACTATTTATTTTTCTCCTTTCAACCAAGATTACGTTCTCCTTCTCCCTCTTTGCCTCACTGCTGACCCAAAGAAACTGCACAGATCAGCGTACCTAACAACAGACTCATGTGATGCATTTTCTCAAATGTCAATACCGTATTTCATCACATTAATATATACAAATCACACCCCAATTTTGGGGTGCCAAGTTTGGAGTTTTTCCTGTTTCTTACATAATAGTTGAACCCTGTTTTCGTTTGCCCATGCATTTGCCCAGACAAGTGAATGGAGGCCGCCAGCCCCTTGGAGCTATGGAGATTCCCTCAGCTGGCAGCCAAGGGAAGACCCATAGCTCTAAAAGGTGCAGATGAATGAGTGGATGAAGCCTCGCTCACCCACACGTCTGCACAGTTTTCACCACATAATAGCTGCCACTGTGTAAAAAGTCACAACTCTCTTTTTTGAATAAAGAAGGGGGGAAAGTGTGACTATTATGCAGTGAAATATGCTATTTCTTCAAAGGCAGCAGTTTTACTGAATGTAACAGAAGAAAAGGTAGCAAGATAGCCACTATAATGAATTCTGACAACATAATTCTTCAAATTATTAATTCTAATTTCAGAGTTAATTGGGGAATATAGTATATTAGGTAAAATCAATAAAAATAGCAGGTTCATAACTGAACTAGTAAGTGAATGAGTTAAATCCATAGAACCCGTAAAGTGGCATAAACAGGTGGCTTGGCTACAGCGGAAAATTATTTCTAGGTGATCACCCACAAAATAACTCAAAGAGAAAGAAAACCAGAAAAGTGGCCTGCAGATTTATTACCAAAAGGACAGTGACATAGAGAAATTGCCCAGTACATTGAAGATGATAAAATAATCATGTATAACTGAGAGGTGAAGGAAGCAATATACCAAGAAATGGAAAATGTTGAGAATGTTAGAAGGTGCTGTCTCAACCCTGAAAGTATTACCAGATGAATATGAAGTTTCCTGAAAAAAATTATATGTCAGAAAGAGAGCAGTGGGAGGAATTGTGTGAAGGAAGACTGCAAAGTCACCATAGATATACTAAACAAATTATGCTAAGACATATTATACAAATTGCAATAAGATTAAGTAAGATGGACAAGATATCTGAGAAAATAAGAGGCCTATTTCTTTGTTGGCGTGTTCTGTCCCTGAAGTAAAAAAAACTGGCAAATTAAAAGACATATTGAAAGCATTCTTAATCAATTTGATTTAGGATAACTTTTGATCCAATAAAAACTGAGATTCCAAAGAATTGTAGGAACCCAATTAAAGTAATAACGCACCGGGAATAAAACAGCTATAATAATGTTATGGACCGTAAAGCATTCCTATTAAACATTTTTTATTTTAGCCATTTTTATGAACTTTAAAAGTTTGATTTACAGCAGAACAAGTCATAAAATCATCTTTCGGGATCTTAATGCCCGGCCCCACAATTGTACTGAAAAGAGGGAGGGGGAGTAAATCTGGGGAACTCAAACTATAAATGAACATTAACACTAACGAGATTTTCTTATAGCAAGTTTTAGTGGTAGCGTTTAATTTTACCCTCCCCATAAATCTGAGAATCACAAAGTTTTTAACTTGTCTTCATTAACAGACCCTTACATCTCTACATTTTTTATTAACAACCTCCTAGTAGAAGTTGTTAGGAATTGGGGAAATTGCAGTGGCAAACTCTTCTGGCTGAGAAAGCTATCTAACTTGTGTTTTACTTAATTGACTTTGCATGTGTGCTCACCCCTTCAAATCATCTATCGCAGGTATCAAATTGTTAACAAGCTGTTCATTTTGTAGGTACACAATATTCAGGCTCAGTCTAATAAAGCACATAAGCACACATTTAATGCTAAGAACACCAGTCCTCTCCTTGAAATTTGTAAGTCTAGGCAAAAATATTCACATTTTATGGAATCAGGCCAGAACATAATTTTTCCAGAAAGAGGCCATTGAGTTTACCTTCTTGAGTAATTGTATCATAAATTCTGAAAGTGCTTCAACTAGAGATAAAATTGTTTCCTTGGTCTTCTGGCAACAAATGTCTATCTTATCTACCAAAACAGGTTTCTCCTGTTAGCTCTGCTTTTTAAATACATTTTTGGTGTAGAACTTCTTTCCAATGTTCCATTTGATTACATATGTTCTTTGTCTTTTTTTCCACCAGGTGTCGGATCGCTCTGTAGTGGCCCTTGTTCCCAAGCAGACCTCTTCCTATAACATTCCTGCCTCTGCCAGCATATCGCGGACCTCAATAAGCAGATATGGTAAAAATCAAAGTGTCATAGTAAAAACTAAGGATTCTAATCAACTCATTTTCAAAATTGATCCCATCATCTAATAATTATGTCCAGTAGTTTGGGCCAGCAGACTCATTTTGCCATTCTCTCACAATATAGAAAAAACTGTTTGCCCCCCTTTGGGGGATTTTGATCATTGTTGGTCAGAACAGAAGTCCAGGAGCAAAAAAAAAAAACTGCATTGCAATGGGTTTGTTTTTTGTTTTGTTTTTTCATGTCAGAAGCAACTTGAGAAACTGCAAGTCACTTCTGGTGTGGGAGAACTGGCTGTCTGCAAGGACATTGCCCAGGGGATGCCTTGATGCTTTACCATCCTGTGGGAAGCTTCTCTCATGTCCCCACATGGTAAACTGGACCTGACAGATGGGAGCTCACCCCACTCCCCACTTATTTGTACATAGACCCCAATTCTTTACAAAAACATCTCTTTCCGGAAACAGTGTTTTTGTGCAAAAATGTTATTTGCACCAAAACTATGATAATTTTAATAGATAGTAACTGCAGAATGCATGAATACTGAATGAAAAATATGCAAAACTCTTTCCTCTGTGTTATACAGCCAAACCAAACCCAAGGGAGTTTTGTCATGATTTGCAGATAGGTATGTTATGAAGTCTCCAAAAACAATTAACAGTAAAAATTGGGACTATTGTACCCATTTTGTAAAATGTATTCCTTTTTAAATTACCATCATTACCATTTTTTCACTCTTGAAAGTAATTCATTATTATTTTTCATGATACCATTTGCTATCATTTCTTTTTCTGTCTTCATAATATTGAAACAATAATTCAAAAAGAGTATAGTAAAATTATGTTACTTTATCACAGAATATACTTAGATTAAAATCAAATATCAAACATGAGACATTAGGCTTGTTTATTTTTGTGTTCTATTATTGGTAAAAAGATGTAAGTCAGAAGAAATGTTGTGCCATATGTCTAGTAATAAAACACCAAAATGTTTAGCTGAAGTTATAGAATGATTTTTTGTCTTTTTCATTGTGTAGACTGGGCTATGAGGGGGAAAAAATCTATATACAATCCAACTCCGCTCTTGTAATTCTCAAGGCATTTATACCAAAGCACCAAAGAATAACTTTTATTTCGTAGAGAGACCTCTATTACAACTTTCTGCAACAACATCTCTTTGTTTGCAAACTGTATAACTGTGTCCCACCTTGAAAGTTATTGCCAGCAGAGTCCCATTTTCCATTGCCAACAACGAATCTACACAGTTGTTGCTAACATTGATATTGATATCTCTAAATGTGCAAATGGCATGCAAATGAGGCTGTATATTTACTCTCTACATTTGCATTATATATCAGGGCAGAGCATGTTTTAAAAATAGAATGATTCAGTGTTCTCACCCCTTAATTACATCCACAAGAATATTCATATTTATCTGAGCATTAATCAAAAGTGAAGTTTTGGTAGGGAAATGGTAATGATTCACTCATTCTCCTACTAATTTATGGGGATCTCCTTAATCCTACTGTCAGCCAAAAGGGAAGAGTGGCAAATTAAGAAACCAGTCTGAGTTATCACAGCAAAATAACCACTTGCTTGGGAATTAGAAGGCTGAAGGATCAAATAGAAGGAAAGTGTATTGGCAGGTTGGTTTTATTGAAAGAAAAATTGCTTAGCTTCCTAATGGGTAATAGCAAACTCCTGACCTTGCATTGGTAGGTATTAGATAATATGTTATTTCTTCTTACACTTCTACTGCATATCCTACTGTACTTCAGAATTTTTTTTATTTTCAGTTCTAAATTGATGGCCAACTTTGTTCTATAAGACCAATCATTTGATCTAAGAACCATTATGTCCAGGAGGTCAAGGATACTTACACATAATATTATTAATGTCTCACTCTCATGCATCATAAAGTATGGAAAATGTCTGGCTCATTTTGCATCATTAGATCACTAGGCTAGAAATAAACTATTTGAGTGTACCCTATGCCATTACTCTCTCCTAAAGATATTGTAAGAATGGGGTCTCCCATTATCTGGGCAACACAGTTGAGGGGTATAGTGTCATGTACAAGTGACTAAAAGTTTAATGATGTGATATTTTTAGGTTACATAGGATCAACAGAGATCACAAGATACAGTTTTCCAGTGACAAGTTTGGGGAGAAGTGTAGAAAATGCTTCCAAGATGAAAGGTTATTTATTAAAGATTGTGCCACTAGGCACAAGAGAAAATAACTGTGAGAGTTTGGGACTGATATTTTCATCATTATCCCTTGGAAAGCTTGGTCATAGGCTGGACAAAGGGGTCAAGACTCTCAGCTTCTCATGAACTTCTAAAGACCTAGGTAGAGCACCATGTGGACCATAATAAGAATGTTCAGTTAGTCACATTAGGGTTTGTGCTTCTTCTAGGCACTTAATATGACTTAGGCTGTTTTTGTAACTTCATAACTACTACTAACACCAAAGGAAGCTGCCCTCGTGCATACAAAATACCCTTTTGCTAATGTAAAGTTGTTTGCTTTAGAATAAAACCTTTCCTTAAAGTTCTTCTCTTTTGCACACCTTATTTTGTCTTCATGTGCCTTTGGTTAATATGTGTATAAGATCCTCAACTTCCAAGAGAAGGGGAGAGAAGTCTCTACAAAATCAGAGCATTAAATAATGCAAGTTAAGCAACCCCACCCCCCAGTAACTCCCAGTAGTGAGTCTTGTGGGGAGACATTAAGGTGGTCACAGTGCAAAGAATTCAGGGGTCCTCTCCTACTCAAAATCATCATCATCATCATCATCATCATCATCATCGGGGTGGCTTACAAAATAGCACACAAAGGTGCCATACATAAAATACATAATACATTAAAAAATAAAATACATCAAGATGAAAACCATAATACATTACATAAACCAGATATATAAATTGATAAAACAATCTCTATTAAAGTAGAATCAGTTAAAAGATCCATGAAGCAAGAGATTGGCCTAGAGCCCATTCCAGATCTGTTCACTGTTAGAGAGCTAGTATATAAAGTGTGAATAGATATAATCTATGACCAATCTTATCTTTGCTTTGTGCTTTCTGTTTTCTCTTGCACAGACTCCACATTTCGGTATACAGGAAGCCCAGACAGTTTACGTTCCAGAGCACCTATGATTACTCCAGACCTAGAAAGTGGGGTGAAGGTCTGGCACTTAGTCAAGAATCATGACCATGGTGACCAGAAGGAGGGTGACCGGGGCAGTAAGATGGTGTCAGAGATCTACCTAACAAGGCTGCTAGCTACAAAGGTAATGACAGGGCTGGGATCAAATATCCTGTTTTCACCAGTTCAAAATAGTAGATATCAACTATGGGAGAATATCAACACTTGCTACTGCACTGCTTCATTTATATGGAAGTAAAAAAAATGCAACAATTTAAATTAGCAATAGCAAGATCATTCCACAAGTCAGGTAATCAAAGAAACTGTGTAGAGCTGATATGAGTTGCCTATCCCAGACAAGGAGCAATGGCAGTGTTAAGGGAGAAATGTTACTCTTATGTATGGTATATATTAAGTACTCGAAGCCTACATTTCCAAAGCATTCAAGATGGCAATGGCACATTTTTCATTTTCCCTACACAATGAGTGAACTTTGTTTCATCTTCTTCCTCCTTTCCAAAAAGAATCAATGTCAGGGTCTGTAAATACAGTTGTAATGTTAGTGGTCCTATTTCCAAACCTGCATGTAATGAAATGGTGCTGTTCCTCCCTCTGCAGGGATTTTGTAGCAATCATGCTTTCTTTTCTTGTTTGCATCAGGGTACACTGCAGAAGTTTGTGGATGACTTGTTTGAGACTTTGTTCAGTACAGTACACCGAGGCAGTGCTCTCCCACTGGCTATCAAATATATGTTTGATTTCTTGGATGAGCAAGCAGATAAACATGGCATCCATGACACCGACGTGAGGCACACGTGGAAGAGCAACTGGTAAGTGGCATCAAGAGTTATGGTTTATGCATGTGGAAAAATTGCTGAATGTGAGGATGAATATTGAAGGCTTTGTGGTCACAATTGAGTTAGTATTAATCAAGCCAAATCCTCCTGAGCCTAGCTTAGGACTTTCTAAAAGACTTCAAGCTTGCTTTCAGAAGGTAAGCAAATAAATACATTCCGATTAAGGATAAGCAGTCAATTAAAATTTCAAAAATCAGAAGCAGTATATGGGATAAAATTCAATGAATCTTTGACATTTACTGCTCACCAGTGCAATAAATGCCTCCTACAAATAGCTGGCTTCTGCAGTCTTTGCTTTTGGACTCATGGAATTTCTGACAGTATTACTTAAAATCTGGTCTAACCTTATTGTGCTTTCCTACCCTCTGTTTCCTATGCATTCCTTAAATCAGGCATGTCTTCTGCTGAAGGCTTGCTGCTAATGTCACATTTTCGGTAAGGTCATGATGGGCATCAAGTCACAAGTGACATCACCAGAGGACAGCTTGCTGGCAGTGACACAGAGGTGCTGGCACTAGCCCAGATACACCAAAGGGGTCCCAGGGCAGCTCTGAAGGCATTTAAACCACAGTTTGCCAGTAACTGTAACAATGGACACAGAGATAGCTATGCCAGTGCAGCCTCAAAGCAGCTTGAAGAAGCATACACAGTGTGACAGTGGTTATCCCTGTAGCAGTACATTCCATGAAGGATTTCTGCCTTCTTATATAAAACCGAAATCTCTTAACATCTGGTTACTTTCTAAGTGTGTAGCATCAGGGAAGCTGCAGACTGCCTCTGGTGTTTGTCTGAGATAATAAGAAGATAAACTGAGGCAGAATTTGCTCTGCTGGATATAGCCAGGCAATTCTTAGTGAACCTGAATAGTATTGAAATGCATTATTTAAATCTTAGTGGAGATGGATCCCAACAATGAGAAGGTGATTTCAAAGACGCCAATAAAAAGACATAACAATTTAAAAGTTAAAATTAAAAACAAAAACATTATTTTCATTAAAATCATTAAACATTGAAATATTAAATTACACTGCAACTTCACACCCACCCCAAAATTAAAATCATACCTTCCCCAGAAGCCCACTTCTCCTTAATCCATAAAATCCAATGGCAGATGAACATTTTCACCTGCCTACAAAAGACAAGCAGGGACAGGGCCTCCTGGTCTCTCAGGAGAGGGAGTTTCAGAGTAGAAAGGCATCTCCCTTGTTCCCACCAAACGAGCTTGAGCGGGTGGTGGGACAGATGATAGTAATGTTCTGATAGATTCATAAGAAGTGATACGGAACTTCACGTAACCTGACTCAAGTCATATAGGGCTTTAGAGATCAAAACCAGTACTTTGAATTATGCCTGGAAATGCTTTGGCAGCCAACAGAGCTGCTTAGGAAACATGAAGGCAGTTTACAAATGTAGTTAACTAGGATTTAGCTAGATGTTCGTTAATTATATTGTTTCCCTTTATGCCTTATGGAAGAGATTGCACTGTGCTAGCCAGCTTCTGGCACTCATAACTGTAATAGAGTGTTAGACTGGGATAGCTCACAAAAGCTAGGGCAGGGCTCCATGAACTATATGAAGTAGACTACCCACTTAGTTGATTTTGGAGATTCTCCTAGCTTGGGCCATGACTGCCATAACACACAAGGCCCTTTTCAAAGTGTGTGAAATGTACAGCTCTTTTGGTGCATTAATTGATAATATGGACAAAGCAAAGATCCCAGGTGGATATCAGAAACATAATACCACTGCCCGCCCACCCAGAAAAAAACTAAAATGGGGACAAGAGATGTCCTACTGTCACAAAAAGGAAACAAAACATGGATGGAAGGTAGTGGGTCCATCTAAGTTGCAACACTGAATTATTGTCTAGTCAGGTAGCCACTTCCCAATTGTTTCAGAGTCTTCCACCAACAATCAGGTATAGAAGAAAAGAGACTAAGAGGAGCTTATTCTTCAAACATATACAGTTGTCACAAGCAGCAGATCATATCCCACCATTTCAAAACAATTGCTGCTGGTACGTCTTTTTCTTGGCTATTATTTTAAGATTAAAAGTTCCCTGGGCTTAAAATTTACCACTGAATGGAGACTAAAACCTCATAAATACACAAATTACTACCTCCAGACTGCGTGTATGTGTGTATTTGTTCATTCATTCATTCATTCATTCCTCAATCCCTTGCGGTTTGCAAAGCCTCTAATCATCCTGTCTGCCAAAGCCAGATTCCCTGCTAAGGCTGCAGAGAGCTAAAACAATTTTATAGAAGCTTTAGAGGCAGAGTTATTAAGATAAAATGTGAGAATCCTGAATAAAATGACACTTCTTAAAGCTACCAAGAAGTGCACATGAGGAGAGAGTTTCCCCCCCCTGTGGTGACATAGGCCAACCCATGTTTTTAGTACAAAGATCTCCCCAGCTGTTGCTGATGTCTACAGACAAATACTAGAAAGGGATCCTGGGAGAGAAAAAAACCAGATACTCAGGCCACTAAACTCAATCTTCTCTGTTTAGTAGTAACCATGAAAACACATACAGCTACATTGTAGTAAGTCAGATCAGACTGGTCCATCAGTCTTAGCAACATCTCTTTCTGTTGAGTTGGGTCTAAAGTATGCCAATAGAACTTTATTTCTGTTGACATTACTTGGTCTTAAACTAAGCCCCATCCATTTCACATTTGACTTGTTGATTTTCATTGTGGCCTACATTTTGACAGAACACTCTGAGATATGACTCTTCAGAGTGAGGCTTCGGGATGGATGGTGTCTCATTGAAGTTTGAATGCAACTTTTTAATTCGAAATGTGAAGGTACCAAGGAATCTATTCTCTTCTGGCCCATGGTATTTTTGCTTGCTTTTACCCAAACTTTTAATCCAGTCCAACATTAGTCAGAAGATTTTTTACTTTGTTCAATATCCATACTTCAACATCATTTTAATGTCTATTTCTTTTAAAATTCATGTTTAAAATGTTTAAATTGCATTACTATATTCCGTAATGTGTGATATCTACAATGTGGCAAAGTTCAAATCTGCACATTTATCTTAGAGGTGTAGATCAGTACAATTAATATGAGAATTTTAAAATTATTAATTCCTCAAGTGTTCCTAGTTAAACCTTGGCCCCAATGTATTTGACTGAGGAAGACAAGTAATATAGCTACAGCATAGAATAAAATCAGATTACAAGGAAGAACAAATTCAACAAACTCATATTCACAGCTCCTTAAGACACTTCTTGTAGAGCATGGTGTCCAGGCCTTTAATAATAATAATAATAATAATAATAATAATAATAATAATAATACATTTAAAACTAAGGCCGGGCCAAATGTAATGATTAAAAAATTTAAAAATGCTGGACATGACAGGTGAAATGGATAGGTTTTTGGAGATAGGTGCGATGTGCAGACAATCTTAAATCTCTAGTAAAGTGCAATTGGGACATGATGCTTGGAGTTTCCTATTCTGGGAAGGCACACTGGAACAACCATGTCTTCAAGCTCTTCCTAAAGACTGCCAACGCTGGGGCTTGTCTGATGTCCTTGGGGAGAGAGTTCCAGAGTCGGGGGGCCACCACAGAGAAGGCCCTGTCCCTCGTCCCCACCAAACGCGCTTGCGATGCAGGTGGGATCGTGAGCAGGGCCTCTCCAGATGATGGAAGTGTGTGGGTTCGTATACGGAGATGCGGTCACGCAGGCAGGTGGGTCCCAAACCATTTAGGGCTTTGTAGGTAAGCACCTGCACCTTGAATTGGGACCGGAAAATGAACGGCAGCCAATGGAGCTCCTTAAACAGCAGGGTTGACCTCTCCCTGTAAGGAACAGCAGTTAACAACCTGGCTGCCGCCCGTTGGACCAGTTGTAATTTCTGGGCCGTTTTCAAGGGCAGCCCGATGTATAGCACATTACAGTAGTCCAGGGGTAGGGAACCTTTGGCCCTCCAGCTGTGGTGGACTTCAACTCCCACAATTCCTTGAGGCTCGGCATTCGCCCCAAAGGCTTACCTTGGCCCAATGCCGAGCCTCAAGGAATTGTGGGAGTTGAAGTCCACCACAGCTGGAGGGCCAAAGGTTCCCTACCCCTGCAGTAGTCCAATCTGGAGGTGACTAAGGCATGGACCACCCTGGCCAGATCCGCCTTCACGAGGTACGGTCGCAGTTGGCGCACGAGTCTCAATTGTGCAAAAGCCCTCCCGGCCACCGCCGACGCCTGAGCTTCAAGCGTAAGTGATGAATCCAAAAGGACACCCAAACTGCGGACCTGTGACTTTTGATCATTTTAGTCACCCTCCTTGGGACACATTCTAGCTTGTCAATATCTCTTTTGAAATATGGTGTCCAGAATTAGACACAACATTCCAGGTGATGTCTGACCAAAGCAGAATAGTGAGGCATCGTGACTTCCCTTGATCTAGACACTATATTCCTTTTAATGCAGCCCAAAATCCCATTGGCTTCTGCACCACAATGTTAGGCTCGTGTTCTACTTGTTGTCCACAAAGACTCCAAGATCTTTTTCACATGGACTGTTGTCAGGCCAGGCGTCACTCATTCTGTATCTTTGCATTTCATGTTTTCAGCCTAAGTGTAGTATCTTACTATTGTCCTTGTTGAAATTCATTTTGTTGTTGTTATCTTCATGCTAAAAATGGGGAATTCCACTCATAAAAATTAAGTAACATACATTATATAAACAGGAGTTCAGTGTGCCAGTGTCTTGCATTACTTTTACACCATCCTTTTTCACTGCATGTTTGACCAGCAATTTCCATTACAGTGTTAAAGAGATTAGTTTTATCCCTAAATGACACTGAAAATTTAAGCCTCATAGAGTACCTAAAACTGGAATGTTTTCCTGGTGCTTGAAGGTCAGTCAGGAGAAGTGGCTGAGAGGCGACTTTGATGAGAACTGCATGAGGGAAAGCTTGTTACAATATCCATGTGAACTTGAACAGCAAGAGAGTGATTTGCTGTTGGTTATACCACCAGTTCATTTTTAAAAGTATGACTTAATTTCACATCAAAGCTGGATGCCTCATCACATACTTGAAAGCTAACAGGAAGGTCTGGCTTTGTTTTTATCCTGCCACAGAGAAAAATGAATCATAATTCTTCTCTGACTATAGATGCCAAAGATTTAGGACTTTATCACATAAGGCTGGCAAACTGGAAATGCAGTGGTATAATAGTATTTGTTGCCAGTAGTTATTACATGATGTCACATGTGTCCCATTGCCACTCTGCCTTCCCTCAGTTACAGTAGCACTCCTTTTCATTGATGGGCAAAACCTGTCCTTGGTTCTCCATACTGCTGCCTTCCCATTACTTACTTACTTCATTGTGAAAGGTCCTTTCCGCTTCTACTCCAATATGTCAGCAGTTGTGTGACATCGGTGAGTGTCATTCTCCCTCCACTCCCTACTCTCCTTCACTGTTTCCAAGCAGCCTGTTTTCCCTCCCCATTTGGTTTATCTTCTTTCACATGTATTTATTTTATTGCCATAATTGCAAAAGTGTAGAAATTTTAAATTAATAACCATAATGGCTGGAAGGCAGTTCATGGAACTATAGATTACCAAAGCAACAGAGAGGTGCAATACAGAGAGGTGCAATACAGAGAGGTGCAATACAGAGAGGTGCAATACAGATTGTTCTAAATTAATATATTCCATTCCCTAAACTACCGTGATTGTGATAAGACAGCAGGCAGGTATGACAAAGTCTTTAGAAATAAATCTTATGATGTACCATCCCAAAATATTGAGCATTGGGAAGGCAATACCCTGTCTTTTTGTGGTGAAACAGATGTGTGGTGAAACAGCAAGTTGTGTAGCTATAAGTGGCCTGTAACTGGTTTTTGTGAAAGATGCATAGCTATAAGTGCCCTATAACTTTGTAATGTGTAAATGGACAGGGGGAAGTCTTGAGATGGTTATTGCATCTGATTGTGGATGCAGGGGGAAAAAACAGCAACAGTATCATCATTGTTGTCATAATTATTTAAATTATTGTTTGTTTGCTTTTTGTTAATATCTCACATATACTCCAGCCCTGGAACTCAGGACAATTTACAAAAATTAAAACAGATCACATCACACAAAATTAAAAGTTAATATTTAACTAATAATGCCACGGTGGTCCATGCTCTCGTTACATACAGGATAGACTGCTGCAATGCACTCTACATGAGTTTGCCTTTGAAGACTGTTCAGAAGCTTCAAATAGCCCAACAAAAGGCAGCCAGGTTAATAACTGGGGTAGCATACAGGAAGCACACAACTCCTATGTTGCATCAACTCCACTGGCTACCAGTTCACTACCGAGCACAATTCAAAGTGCTGGCTTTGACTTATAAATCCCTAAATGGCCCTAGCCCAGTTTACCTATCCAAACAGATCTTCCTCTATGAAACACCACAAAGATTCATATCTTCCAGGGAGGTCCTGCTCTCAGTCCTGCCACTGTCACAGGCACGATTGGCGGGGATGAGAGAGAGGGACTTCTCAGTAATTATCCCTTGGCTATGGAACTCCCTCCCTGGCAAGATTAGATCAGCACCCTCCCTCCTGTCCTTCAGAAAGAAGGTAAAAACTTGATTTTGGGAACAAGCCTTTGCGACACTGCAATAAGGCAAAAATTGGAAACCATACCCTTCAGACCGAATCTAGTATGGCTGATTTGAGATGGTTTAAAATAATTGATTTTAAAGTGGATATAACCGATTTTAGCATTTGTGTATATTTATAGTTTATTGTATGTTCTGGTATTGAATGTTTGCCATATATATGTTTTGCTCCACCCTGAGTCCTGAGAAGGACAGAATATAAATGCTTTAAACAACAACAAAACAACAACAATATAATTACACTATCAATAGAAATAAAAAAATCAGAAGCATCACAGTTAAAAACAAACACAGATGATACATTAATAATAAAAGCTGTCATTAATTAGTTCCAGTGGAAACATCCACAAAAAGGATTTTCTATCATGTTCCATGAAGGTAGTTGGACAGAAAGAAGGGCTTCTCTCAAGAAGCTGATATGAGTCTTTCAGATAAATTGTACCCTAGCCAATATAAAGCTTTATGGAAACTACCTACATTGATTTCTCAACTATTGATAGTTGTCACCCATTCATAATGGATACAAATAATGGTAGAAGTTATCAGAAACTACATGATTTTCAAACTTCAAACAAGTAAATTTACTTCGGTGCGTGCTGTACTGTAACTCTTAACACCCCAGCCTAGCACAACAGAGAGCAGGGAGCTATTGCTCTCTGTACATAGTTTATATGATCTGGTTCTGGTTCTCTTTTTTGTCACTGGTTATCTAAATTTCAAATTTTCATATATTGAGTTTGTTTGTTTGTTTGTAATCATTGTTATTTCTGTTCTCAGAATATAGTATTATTCTTTACACTCAAAAGCAACAAATAGTGTCACCTAGTGACTGAACAACACTAGCTTTCATGAGATTAAAAAGAACTCAAGAAAGCAAGGAAAAGATATAAAACATATCCTTATCCGAATTGTTATTTATTGTAGGTTGCAGTATAATATTGTAATGTTGATGCACAGTAGCACAATGGAAAGCAGCTGTTGCACAGTGCAAATAACTTATGTTTATCAACATGGTAAACAGAAAAATACACCAATATGGAGAGTAACTATATTACAGGAATCTCATAGGACTGGCCATAAAATATTTTCACTTCATTGATGATCCAGCACAATCCAAGGTGTCTGATTTATTCAGATCAAGAAATAGTTCCATATAGATTCTGTGTATCCATCCTAATATCAGAGGAAAAATGATATTTAGTTTGTTTGCAATTAGAATTTGATTCTCATTTTTTGTTGCTTCTTCTCTCCCCCCCCCCCCCGCGCTTTCTCTTCTTCTTCTTCTTCTTCTTCTTCTCAGATATGGTACATTTTATTATCACGGCTGTTGTTTTAGCCATTAAATGCCATTTGGTGAAAAGAACACAAAAAGGGGTGAGGTGGATGGTAATGAAACTCAATTTTCTTGGATTTCTAATGCGTTTTATGTCTTTCTTTTCTGTAGTCTTCCTCTCCGCTTCTGGGTGAATGTAATTAAAAACCCACAGTTTGTCTTCGACATCCATAAGGGAAGTATCACAGATGCCTGCCTATCAGTGGTAGCCCAGACCTTTATGGATTCATGTTCTACTTCAGAGCACCGACTGGGCAAGGACTCCCCCTCCAATAAGCTGCTATATGCCAAGGACATACCTAGCTATAAGAGCTGGGTAGAAAGGTCAGTATAGGGATTATTGAGCCACTTTTGGATCCTGTCCCTTCCTCAAAGCTTTCCCAAGTTTTTAGTTACTGCACAAACAGGAATAGTGTTGACCCTAGTACCTTCTCTCATTCACACATACATGTGCTTAAATGGTTCTTAATTAAATGCATTAAACAAAATTACAATTAAAATTACAATAAACAATATCTGCCCTCTAGGGAAATTAAGCAATGGAAGAGTTGTCATTTTTATGCACAGTTTCTGAATATGTTTACAATTATACCATAGCATAATTAAATACAACACAGGCCCCATGTCTGTGTGGGGAATGCATTCCTGAAATGTCTATGGAAGCAGGAAACCATGGACAATAGTGAACAATGAAATTAACATTTTCACAAGAAGTCATCTTATAGTCATGCTGAAGTATCTAGAAAATTCTTAGAAAACTATCAACCAAGTACAGTACTGATCTTGTCTAGACAGGATTAGGAGTCTTTGACATTCACATCACAAAAGCACCACTTCAAGCTTGCATTTTGGAGAACTCTACAGCTTATTAGTCTTCATCTACTCTGTCACTGCATTCAAGTGCAACCTTGATTTAGTTTTAGTCCATGCACAACCTCTCATATTACCCAAGAGCCTCCCAGACTGGACTAGCTAAAGTTGTCTTGAGAGCTAGACTATTCTCCTTGGTAATTTATAGCTGAATGGCTTCACAGCCTATCTTTAATGAGAAAGATTTCATGATGAGGAACATGGCATTCTTTACAGTGATTTGCATCCATTGGTCCTCTGACCTGTGCTGGTTATGTGTCAAATACCCAAGTGGGAACAGATGTGTCAGGTCAGTAATACCCAATTCTCAATTATCTATATAGGATGAGTTTTATCATCCACTATTAAATCAGAAATCATATCAAATCTATTTCAGACTGACCTAGCATTATATTTCAACACTTACATTTAATAAAACCATTTATCAGTATTCATGCCTTGTTTTATTTTCTAACTAGCACACATTTCCAGCTTTGCAAAAGTTAAAAACCTATTTTTAAACCAAATGTTGTTATAGCATCTGTGCAAATTTCAGGCACCTAGATTTCACAGTCTTAGAACCAGGGCAGAGAGAAGAGAACATATTATGTTTTGTGGCCTTTTCTAAATACCCTAAAGGCATCAGTTATTGTCTGATCATGGAAGGAAAGCAGGGTCAATCCTGGTGAATACCTGGATGGGATACCACCACTAAATACCAGGTGCTGTCTGTGCTGCAAAAAAAGGAATTTGCAATTCAACTCAAAGTATTCCTTGCCTGAGAAAGCCCATGGGGATTTCCACAAGTTGACAGGTGTGCACACATACATATATTTCAGTTATGGTATCCTCTTTATCTACTTACAGTTACATCTAATGCAGTTTAGGGTTTTGTATTAGTGAGCCTTCAGTATTTGATCATTAAAGATTTCTCCCTGTTCTCCAACTCCAAAAGTTTTTTGCAAGTGAAATTTCATGTTTGTGTTTCCTTTATGAGATACACAATTGTTGCTAGTTAACCATATAAAGGCTATAAAGTGCTATGTGGTGATGCATATAACTGGGAAATAATGCACATTGATTTAAGGAGTGTGATATATTTTTACATATTTGTTTGACATTTTTAGTTCTTCAGCTCTTTTTTTGTATCAGAACCTCTATTGAACATGACTAATGCAACCTGTATCTCATACTCATACTGTTTTGCTTTCCTATTAAAATTATCACTATATGCACAACACATTCATGGACAAAATTCATAGAGATTTTCTCCATCTGATTTTCAAGACTTCCCTCCTGTACCAGCAGTATACCATTTTCAGTGCCCAGGAGGCATTGTTAAATCAAGAAGGGCAAGGAAGTCCATTCCACTCATTGAGTTGCATGTGCCTAAATCCTGATCCAACCCAAATCATACATTTCTACCCATTTCTTTTTCAGGTATTATGCAGACATTGCAAAACTTCCAGCCATCAGTGACCAGGACATGAATGCCTACCTCGCAGAACAGTCACGTCTGCACTCTATTGATTTCAATATGTTGAGTGCACTCAATGAAATCTACTCCTATGTCAGCAAATACAGTGAGGAGGTAAGGATAGATGGCATACTCTTTTTCATTAGACACTTATTTGTATGTTGACATTATAACACAATGCAGTTTTCATCATTTAGGACTTATTCCGTGCACCTATGTGGTTATTTTCTTCATAGGAAACAGGATTTTATGATGGAATAATACTTTTGGGACAGAAAATATTATGATGGCAAACTTTTACACATGGCCGGAATCTTATTGGGTACTTAATTTTTGTAAGTGGACTTAGATCTGCATGAATTAGAATTGGGCATATCCAGTAACCATCCATATCTAGTAAGGGGCTGCTATTGCATTACTACACAGGGAACCCAGCAAAGGGATAGATGTGCATTGGGACCAATGCAAAACAGAACCAATGCACAATGGTACCAATATGCATAGAGAATAATGTACTTTCGTCCTGATTTTCATTGGTCCTATTGTGCATCCAGTCACCAGTTAGGGGGGTGCTGATGCACATCAATAAAAGCAAAAATAAAGAGAACTGTGTCATAATTGTGTGGGGAAGTCCCCACATTGCAAAGAGACAGTCCAGAAGTTTGGTTTTTTTTTTTTTGTCTTGATGCCCCAGCACTTAAGATGCATACTTTTGACAATTTTAAAGAAAATGTTATCAAATATTCTTTTTCGTCACTTTTTGGCCACAATGCTTTTGTGACTTCATTCCCCTTATATTTTAACTATCAATAGCAGTTAGTGATTTACTTGACAGTGGAGCAGCAAATTCCCTTTGGGTTTAGTCCAGACTTTGAAGGAATTATCCAAGATATTGAACCCTATCCTCAAAATGGATTCAGAACTTTTGGAAGATCTTTTGGAGTTCAGAATATGGCTGTGTCTACACTGACAAGTAAATCCAAGGGCAGTTTAGAGCAGAAATTCCCTGGAGTGGCTATGGATGAGGCCATCTGCACCCTGCCAATCCCACTGCAGTGATGGTTTCAAGTATACCTTGTGCAATCAGGCCAAGAAAACATCAGCCCTACTAGGCCATTACCTCACCTTCAATGTTGCCATCGCAACATGGAGATCCAGGTGGCTGCAGATCTCCATTTGAGCTCTTGGCCATTACAGGCACTCTCCGCAGCCATCAGCAGAGGTATCCACATGACCGGAAAGAAAGAAGGTATGTGTTGTGAAAGAACAGATATTCCATCAGTGGGATCGCAGGGATTCACAATGATCTGATAGAAATTTACTCTACAATCTATGGGGAGATATCTATATATATGTGTGTATATATTCTTTTTTTTTTAAAGATAACTGAATCTGAATTTAGGGTGCAATCCTATACTTGTTTATCTAGTAGTGTGCTCCACCAATATCTTTTACGGATTGTATAACTCTTTCTACTTAATATTGCGGCTGCCCCATTTATTATTATAGTAGTTGAGCTATATCTAATGTAGCTGGGCTAGCAGAACAGGAATTTTGCACTGGTTTCTTCTTGCAGCAGTTTTTTCAGCCCCTTGAAAATGCTACACACAGAGTTGAAGGACTCTGCTGAATTCAATGGACTGTAATACAGTGGGGAGTGGATGAAAGTTCCTTGAAAATCATTATGTAATTACATCATAACCTTTAGAGAAAACAAGACGTGTGTTTGCTCCATTTTGAGGAACTGCAGGTTTCTCTGAATACTTTCAGAAACAATCCTGACCTACTGGGCTATCCCACTATCCCCTATCTATACAGAAACGAACAGCATGGCACAACTGAAACACGATCTATTTTGCAAAGTGTTGCTGGCAGCATGGGCTCTTCTGATGGATGCATCACTTGAAACCAAGTTCACACCATCTGTTCAGCCCTTTAATTTGCAGTGCAAGAAAAGCCTATTTTGCAATTACAACCATTAAAGCCAAGGCTTTTGTCATTTAATTGTGTGTATAAGCGTGTGACACAGTGCAGGAGCCATTTGCCGATTAGACAGGAGAACCTCATTACTTTCTTGCTAAATGATACAGGAAATGTAGCATCCAGAATATAACTGTGTTTCTTGCTGGTAATGTACACCAGTCCAATCACATAGAAATAGTTATGGACTCATGAGTGCGATGGCGCTTCCTGATTTGCTTTCCTTTTATTCCTTCACATTTTTTTCTGGGAAAATACCTCTTGTATATATTCCCACTGATATGCAACTTTGTTACAACTAGATCTCCCAGCCTCTAAAAAAGACTTTGCAGGTTTACCAGAACTATTAACAAAATCTGTGAAATGGGGCCCATATGTTTTATCATTAATACTACCAGTGAAGATTGGGGAAGTAAATGTTCAGCTATTTTGTTTACAAATGTGAAATGCCTTCCCTCCCTCTCTCCAATAGCCAACCCTGCTGTCATTTTAAAAATTCTCTGGAGAGAGGTGGCTATGCACCATGGACCCTCCTCTCAATTTCCCTGCAGTTTGCTATAGAGGTAAGGAAAAGAAGAAACTATATTATAGTTTCTCTGCCTCTCATCTGTGCAAACTGCAGGGGAATTGATAGAGTCTCTGCTATCCAGTTTCCTCCTTCCTTTCCCCTTCTTCCAGAATAACTATCTCACAAAGTTAGTGGCTATAAGGGGAAGATTTTGGACAAGGCACAAAAGGTTAGAGAATAGGCTTTTGCATCCCATTCAAAAAAGAACATATGCAAACATGCCACTCAGAAATGCTGGACATTTTTTTTTTTTTTGCTGTTGAGGATGTTGATAATGATAAAATCAAAGCACTGGTCCTTTCACTATCATGCAGGATTAAAATACCTTGAAATAAGTTATCATTTTTTTATATTATGACTCCATCCTTTATTTTCAAGGGCAACAAAATGAATACTCTTTTATCCCTAATGGAGACATAGAAATCACCACCCTTCATCATTTAGTCTCACTGTATTAACTCATTTTATTTTCTACTCTTTTAAATATATTTGCATTGTTTTTGGTTCCAGATCATTGGGGCTCTGGAGCAGGATGAGCAGGCGCGCCGGCAGCGCTTGGCATACAAAGTAGAACAGCTTATTGGTGCCATGTCTATGGAGAGTTGAAGAAAGGAGCAGGAACTCCTAAAACAGCAGGAAGTGGTTTCTGCAAAGTCTTCTTGGAATTAAGAACCAAACCAGCATGGAGGACACAGGGAACATACGTGAAGTATTGTGGCACCCTCCTAAAAGAAACAGAAGTTGGTCCAGGCATTTAGCTCAAGACTCAATCATTAGATTCAAGTTGAAAGCGTGGAAGAAAACCAACAGCAACAGAGCATCTCAAGAACCAGCTGGATTTGCCAAGAAGTTCCTCTCCTCAAGTTGAAACCGAGAAGGATCCTGGGAAACCTAGATTTCCTCCATGACTGCTGCTTTGCATGAAAGTTGTTTGATGTATATTAGGAGATAACAAAATACTATTTAATTTTTTTCTTTTTTAAAAAAGAAAAAGAAAAGAGAGAAGAAAAATGAAATGTAACAAACACCACAGTGGCCACATCAAATATCCTGTTGAAAAGATCCCTTTGCACACACTGCCCCTCCCATCTCATGAGGTCCCCATTGTTTGTGGCGCAGATGGATGGTTTGCAAGTGGACTCTCACACTTTGGGAATGTTTGGAAAATCCCATTTTTCTTTTTCTGGGAACATACAGAAAACCCCATGAGCACAGATTTGCACCAAACCTTTTATACAGTGCAGTTGGGGAAAATGCCTTGCAGTATAAGTCTGCAAGAGGCACTTAGGAAAAATATTTGGGAGTGAAAAAGCCATCCAGTCATCCAACCCATCTGTCTTGAAATCTAACTTCAGCAATGTATTCATAGAGTGCAGATATTTTTTTAATACTGTTTATTTACCATTGAAGGGGTACTATGGTTGTATGGAAGTCCTTCATTCCTCTTCTACTTTGACAAAATTATCCCCACCCACATTTCAAAGATTCTTCCCTGTTTTAGACAGCCATGTTCCTAAGGAATGTTCTAAGGATGTTGTGTAGAGGTTAAGTTGAAACTGGCATATTGTGCACAATTTGTGGAAAAACTTATTGGCTTTCTTAGTTAGTTGCTTAGTATGTGGGCAGATCAGCATTAAGGTCATTGTCATTTTTTCCTAGTCACTGTGTGATTTCTTGAAGCTTAAACAAAGTGTTTACAACAGGCAATACTTGAACAGTGTAGACCTAGCAAGCCAAGATATTTATTGTTTCCCTTCTTTAGACTCAGTGATGCTTATGCGACTGGGACAAATGGCATTTGCATTTTTCTCATACCACAGACAACATCCTATAAAGGTCAAGCATAAAGCTTTTATGTCTTCTGGAAGAGAAGTGAGCGGATCCTTCTTTCTCAACAAAAGGAAAATGGTATGCTTTGCATGCCTGTTAATGGCTGTTGTCTTTGTCTTTGTCCATGTCTTGTCTTGGGTTTGGTTTCTTAGCTGGCCCTAGCAGTCCAATTTCTAGTGGTCAGTGGAAGGCTGATATATGTGAGTTCTTCTTCTTTTATATACATAAAAAAAGGGAAAAGACCAAAGCTTCCATGTCCCTTTCAAGAGTGCCAAGTAGCAGGTGGGATGCTGTAAATATTTCTCTCTGTAATAAATATTGATATTTGTGCAGGCTGCAGTTAAGAGGGGTGATGAGGGGGCAAGGTGATTAGGCTTAATGGAAGGCAGGATATCGACTACATGATTTTAGACCCCGTGACTAGAATCTAAGTCAGATTTAAGAGAAGCAAAATTGTATTTTTAAAGTAAGAATTAAATGGTTAGACCACTAGTTGCAGGTTGATTCAGACTATGCCACAGTTTCCTTGGAGTGTGTAGCATTTTCAGTTGTCAGTTCTGAATGGAATTTGTGAATACTATAACCTTTTAAGCATAGATTGCCAGATGTCTAAAGATGTTTGGGGATAGATACAGTTTAGGGGATACCATTCTGTAGTATTCTAAAATTGAAGGGAAGTTGCTGGAACAAAGAGAACCACAGCATTTGCTCCTACCCTCTATCTCCATCTATAGTGAGGCATCAACCCAAAGAGTTAACATTTAAGAGGTAGCCTGGAAGTGTGTTCTTCTCACATTATATGATGAAGAGGTCTGTATGTGAGTAACAAAAAGTAATGCTGCATTGTAGACTTCACTTTCCAATTGTACATCTCCTGGTCATCATCCATTGTGTCACTGCATTAAGTGTGAATGACTGAACTCTGAAACCTGACACAAGTTGGAGTTCTGGACAACTTGAAAGCAAATCTGTGCCATTCTACATTCATAGGCTTACCTTTTTAGACATCATTGAAAAAGAGAGTAGTTTCCAGCCTCAGAGAAAGGACTAGCAGTATCTTCTCTCACAGAGACATTTAATACAGATGACTTGTGCAAGAGTCTACCAACCATCATGCTGTAGCCTTCCCTTCCAGTACACTCCATTTCTATTTTTCCCAAGAGAAAGAGGGAACTGTTTCCACAAAATGTTGAGGGGAATATAGATTGTTACCTACTCTGTGAGAATCCCTGAGGTTTTTTTTAAAAAAAATTCTAATCATTATCCTCAATACTGCCAGCAAAGGGATAAAGGAAAGGAGCAACTTGCTGCTTTAATTATAATTCATTAAAACCTGTGCCAAACCCACTTTCCCCCTGATAATTCACTTTCATAAGTTTCCCTGGGCCCTATTAATAGCCTGAAAGAAATACTAATGACTGACCTTGCGCAATAAGCCAAAGCCTTTGACATTCACAGCAGCCAAAGCTTTGCAACCAGAAAGCTCTGATTTACATTGACTTGGCAGGAGCAAGGAGCAAGAACCCAATGAAGGAAGCATCTTAGGAGGAGGAGAGTCGAGTTTCAGGAGGATTATTCTATACCCTTCAGCTATGTAGTCAAATTGACTGCAGAGATAAATTTGCATCCTCTATTCCTAAACAAAATTGATGTGAGTGGTAAGTTTCAACCACAATTCTTGTTAAAGGATTTTTAACTAATTACAATAACTTCATAAATAGATCATGTTAGTCTCCTTTCTCTCTTTCTTTCCTGTTTTTAATGCTATATGAGTTGGGCTATATGACTATAGCTTCAATCTTCTTTACCTGACAGTTTTATTCTCAGAAGAGCTACAAAATTCAAATGACAATTCCTATTTTTAACCCCTATATCATTCTAGCAGTCAATTGGTTGGCTGTTACCAAGATCAGAGAAGCATATGTAGTATTTTCTGCACTCTTGGTCATAGATCTTACTTCAAGATAAATTGGGAACTGACATCATGGTACAATTTCTGCTCTAAGTTTCTTTATTTTTTTAAAAAAATGAAAAAACCCAACAGCCAAGTTCATGATAGTATCCTTAAGTGTTATGGAGCTAGTTTCTCTGGACACCAGCAGGATTTAGAAGTCATTGTGATTGCCTTAAGTGACACTCCCTTTCCATGTCATTGCCTCATTCCCTTGCTGTCTGAGTTCCAGCCTGCTCTGTTTCAGGTGTTTTCACATCAAAGACAGAGACGTCATTTCTGGAATTTCTGTGCCTGGCACCGCTGTTTGAATAATTCCATTTAATCTTCCACTGATGAGTGCTATCCAGAGCCATCAAAGAGCCCACTGCAAGGGGTAGTGATGTGCTAATCAAATGCTTTTTTCCTTTGAAGGCCTTTATTTTAAAAATTCTATCTTGTTAGCACACTTGCCTACCCTTGGTGTACTTTTTCTCCTCTTAGAACTGAAATTCTGCAGCCACTTCAGTCACCAAAGCAAGTAGCCTGGCTGCCTACGTAACGTCACCAGTAACAAGTTCCACAAACACTCAGGAAGTGGCAGGAGGGGTGACAGCTATATCACTGTATGCACTCTGAATAAATGTAAATATTCTGGCAAAACTGACAGTGAACATGATTTGGCGGGGGGGGGGGGGYGGGAGCTGCCAGAAATTAAATACTTTGCCTTTGCTATTTCACAAAATAGTTGGAATATTTAAAGGCTCTTTGCATTATTCAGAATGTGAAAGTTGTATCCTTACCTAGGAAACTATAGGCATGGACTAGCAAGTTCCCATTCTGTCCTTGTCATTATAAGATGCCCTATCAAGAAATCACGTGTTATTGTGTGTGTTTCGCATCACAATCTTTTCATCAAAGTATCTCCCATTGGAATTTAATCCTCCATTTAAAAAATTAATTACAAAGCCTGAAAATTGGCTGATAGATAGCTATTCTCTGCTCTCTACCAGAATAGTAGGAGTGTCATTTTTTTTAGCAACAGCTACTCTGCTGAAATTCACTACCACTCACCTGAGTTTTTTTTCAGTTAATTGCACTAAAATGAATCTAGATGAATTTTCACAAAGTTGTATCAACCAAACAAAATATTTCCACAATTCCATTTTTGCTAGAAATTTCCTTGAAACCAAGGCCTCTTTCTTCTTCAGACACACAAGGGCTACTCTAGTGTTGCCTATATTCAGCTTCCTTTCTGCTCTGAATCATCCACATTGCTCATCTGCATAGTGTATGAATAGACTAGGTCAATCTGTATCAACTCTTACAACTGGAAGCTTTCAATATGTAATGGATGCAATAAGGGACTTCTTCATAATTATGGATTTTCTCTGTAACCAGTGCTTTGCACTGTTTCTTGGAACCATAGGAAACCTGCCAGAAATGACTGCCTGCAGCAGCAGCAGGTGTCTCCCCTTTGAATTTTTGTAAAAGTAAACACTACAATAAATAAATGCATCTGCTTCATAGTCTTCTATACTGTTTTACTATATGCAGAGCAAAATCCTAACACTAAACAGCCAGTTTTGTCTGAACTAGAAACCATCTACATCTAAATTTGGGTTCACCATGTGGAAACCGACAAGAAAGGGAATGTCAGTTTAGACTATATATACTGTTCTTCAAATGCTACAGCAGCTCAGGAGGGAGTGGGCTTTGATTTCAACTGATGTTGGAATGGGAGCATTTCCCATTACCAGCTCTTGGGTACCCTGATTTCCTCAACAGTTCTCCTGTTAGTCTTCAGTGTTATCTACATTTACCTGTCAGAGGGATTCACAAGGAAATAATAACCCTGAATAAGCTTTGGGAGAGAGAAGTGAAACTAAGTAAATACCTGGAGAAAAAAGTGGCAATAACAGAAACAGTTGAAGGAGGATAATCAACATGAAAGAACCATTTAAACTCCAGTACAGCTAGACTTTCTCAGATTTCAGTATTCCGTTTATATAATAAACCACATAGCAGTCACAATACAGTGATATTTAGCTGTATATATTTTTACTTGCTAGTAAAAGCTAGATAAGCAGTCTGGTCTTCTAACAATAGTTAATGTGTCCTCAGAGGCAATATCTGTATCTCATCATTCTGAGCCCACTGATTCCCCCCCCCCCCCCAATCTATCCAGTATTCATTCAGTGAACTCTGGTTAGATTCAAGAGACATTGTTTCATGATAGCTGCTGGAATTTCCTAGACCTTTCAGCAAACAACATGCCTTTTCCAATGTATTTTATATGTGACAACTGTAAAAGCCATCCCATGCCAATGTAATGCAGATGCTGGTTTTGTTTTGTTGTTTTTGTTTTTTTGTTTTTTAGAATGATAGTGTGAATCAAATGTTTTTAATTTGGTTCAAAATACAAACAAACCCTTGGAAATTTCTATATGAAGTCATAGTCACAAAGTAAAGGTCTGAGACCTTGCTGCACTCTAAATACAAATCGCTGCAATTCAATAATATAAACAGGTGCTTTTAAGAATCACCTGAAAATATTTCATTTTGAGAGACTAGCTCCTTAGAAAGGAAAATGTTTCTATTTAATCTCTACTCATTGTATCCTTCAAAGATTTTGTGATGTTTTGTAATACTGATCTTTATACAATCTGTAGGTTTTCTCCTATCTCCCCCTGCAAATATTTTATCTTACATGGTACAAAAAGCAGGAAAAGGGGGAACAGCAGTGAACCATCCTCTCTTTTTGCATTCCCAGGCTTACATGCAAACCCAGAATCTTTTCCAATTCCCACAAAAGAAGAATCCCTTCTTTGTATATCTGGGGCATAAGTACCTCCTCAGAGGAAATAATACAAATTTCTCTTCACATATTTCTTCTAGGGTTGACAGGCTGAAAACCGGGGAGGGTTTTGTTATCTTTAATAGTTATATAGGAGAAGGAATATCACCAGGTGTATCTTGTCACACAACAAGTAACTAGTAACACCAGTTCAAATTCCTACTTCCATGCAACCATTATTAGTATGAGAGCCATCCTCAGTTTTCACTCTGGCAATCCCAATTATATCAGAAGAACAAAAAGAAAAACTCACTTTCTACCATGCTTCCTCCTAACAAAACCATTGTGTCCATCCTAACAGTGAAACATTATTTCCAGGCAAATTAAGCTACGGCTTCGCACCAGAACCCCATGGGCTAATTGTAGTTGTGTCCATAAACAGTCCTTCCATATGTGGTGGCCCTGCAGAAAAAGCTTTCACAAGGAGACAGCACAGAACAGCTTCCCCTTCAGAAGTGAAGGCTTTTTTGTACGCACATGTCCTGCCTCAACTGTAAGGCAGGGAGTGAATGTTCTGCCTCATCTTATATCAAATAGAATATAGTTTGGGGCAGGGGAGTGAGTTGGTAAACAAGTGGCAATTCACCTCGTATGGTCTTTTGAGATTGACATTGTTTCTTGGCATATTATATGAATTTAAACAAGTCAAATGAGATACCGTTTGCTTTGAATGTTGTTAGTGCTTAGGTGTCTTGTGTTTGTCTGTTGTTTTTTACCAGAATCTCCCTTTATGTTGTCTGTATATTGCCTTTTTATTTGTGTATTCCCAGCCACCCATCCCTTCTTGAACAAATTATGACAAGAAATACCCCAATTGACAAGCAGAAGTGCAGACCCAAAACACTTTCCATCTCTGTTTGTTTGGTTTTTTCTTGTTTGCAAGATAAATGGTGCTCCAAAATTTTAAAACCAGCTTTTCATACCATTTTCTAAAAAAAAATAATAATACTTGACCTAAAATTGAAGGATGTTTTGTAGAAGGAGCTATCAAACGGGAGAGGGGAAGGAGATGCAAAGATCAACCTATTCATAAGTTAAAGTGGGAGGAGACTGTGGCATCTGCCAGTTTTTGCTCTCATTTCTAGAAAATGGAAATGGCTGACGTGTCGAAATTGGTGTCAACATTCTACTTGGACAATGTTGATAGATGATTTCACAATGGTTATGGGAGCTAAACTTTGCACTCTTTCTGAATGGGTGCTTTTTGTTTTGAAATTGTCAAATGCTTTCTAGACTTAATGTACACATGATACTGGTCTTGTCCATAAATGTTAGCTGAGCCTGGTCATACACCAAGGCTGATTCACACCACCAAACGTGTTCTGAGAGCACTAGGAGTGGAATCCACTGAACATCTGCCATCATGTCTTGTGGAAATGGATGGAAACCCTGAAGTAGTTGTCTCCAGTGGGTTTTTTTCCTAGTGCAGTAATATGGCAAACCTAATTCT